GGACGCCGCAGCCCCGCAGCCCCCGCGGCCCACGCTGCTCCAGACGCGCGGGCGCTGGCCTTCGTGTCCCCGGGGCTCCGGGCTCGCCTCGGGTCGCCGGAGGACCCCTCTCCTCCGCCCCTGTTTTCAGACCTGTTCCCGCCTCCTCGCTTCCTCCGCACCGGGGAGAGGGAAGCGGGACCAAGCCCACCCGCCGGCTCCCGCTCCCTGCAGGCCGCGCCCCTCCCAGGCCGGTCGCTCTGGGCGGCTGGCTCGGTGCAGCGGGAGCGTGGCGGGACCCCGCCTAAACCTGCTTGCGGGACCCACTCTGCGCGGCCGCACCCCACGGCCCAGGGCACGGGACGAGGCCTGGTCCCCGCCGCGGCCCAATCGCTGCCACCCGAGACAGGACTCAGACCCCGAAGGGACAGGGGCAGAGAGAGAGAAGAAAGGAAGGAAGGGACTATCTGGCACACTTAGACGCAAAAACATTTTCTCCATTCTGCACTGGGCCAGAAAAACTGCGGTTTTCCTATCATTGAAAACTCCACAGTTCTGCTAGGAAGTTGGTGTCTGCTCCTGGGGTTCGCTTGTTCTTAGGCTGGAAGCCAGTTTACTGCTTTGAAGTACAAGTCCGGTGGCGGAAATGTTACTTTACCTTCCAAGTTAAGGTCCTGTTTCTTGCTTGGTTCAGTATATTCGGTTCTAGTGAGTGTGTGTGTGTGTGTGTGTGTGTGTGTGTGTGCACGCCTGTGGGGGTGGGGGGGTGATCTCATGATTTTTCTGAGTTGCCTTTCTGGTGTTAAAAAACGCTATTTCATGTCCAGTCACAGTGGGTCCTAATCTCTTCAAGATTCCTCTTCTAACCCAGAAACCCAAGTTGCTCCTGTTTATCTCCTCCGCTTGCTGCCCACGCCCACGGTCTCACTCTAGGCTCGTCATATTTGTAAACTTTTCTCCAGCCTGGCCTCCCGCGCTCCTCACAGCACACAGCAGTCCGAGTCACGGAGCAGCACGAAGCAGGCAGCTAAAGAAACGCGAACCTGGGCACCCAGCAGGATTTCTGAGTTGTCAGACTGTATTTTTCATTTGTTTCCTGTAGCTTCCAATTCATGATGCCCCTGGATGAGCAGAACATTCGTACTGCGAGAATTTCAAGCCTAAGCAGAAGGAAAATGAAAAAGAAATACACGAACTATCTCACAAATTTAAGTAGATGAAGTGGTATGAATGCTTTGAGGAAGGAGAGCTAAATTTTGGTATGGAAAATAGTTCCTAATCTGCACGAAAGGTAGATCTTGAAGGATTTGTTCATATTTGGGAAAAGATGAAACAAGAAAACTTTCTTTCCTGTGTGTGTGTGTGTGTGTGTGTGTGCGTGTGTGTGTGTGTGAGCGCGCTTGCTTGCTTGCGTGTGTGTTTCCTGGTAGAAGGACCCTCAGGACTAAAGGTAAGAAGATGGGACGGCTGGCCTGATACTCAGGAAATACGAAGTAATGCCATTTGACCGAAAGGAAAGGTACATAAAATACAGGAAGATGCGGCGGAGTGAGGCAGGGCTGGGTGCTCTAGTCTGCCTCTCTCTCCTCTCATTGTCCCGAGTTGTGGGTTTGCACTGCGACTTTTTGGTATTGTCTTCTGTCAGCATTACACTCGTTAATATTCCTTTCGTTCTGCATTTGCATAACCTCTTCATTTCTGAGTGTAAACCTCAAATTTTATTCTACACCCAACGCCCTGGTAAGGTGGCATGTAAGTTGTAAGTCCCTCAGAAAGTGTGAGCTCCTTGGTAGTAAGGAGATAATTTTTGCAGCCTGAGTGTCCAGCAAAGAATAGTAGAGATTCAATAAAGGTTTGTTAAGTAGCCAGATGAATACGTGAATATTTTATCTTCCTCCAGGGCCGTTCTTCAGCTCGCTGTTGACACGCAGGTTAAGACCGACTTGCCTTCACTTAGGGACAGAAAAGTTAGCGTGACAGTGCAAGTATAGCAATGGCAATTACTCAGAGTAAAGCAGCGCTTCCATAACTTTGCTGGCTCTAGCAAAAAACCCTAAGATATTTGTGTTTCTTCTCATGCCTGTTATTGACAGTAGTACGAAGATGCTCAAGTGCACATTTGCAGATGAAGCGACACTGGCAACCAAGGATGTGACCCAAACCCTTGCTGCTGAGGGAGTCCTTTGTGTGTCTTACTGGAAGTATGGTCCCCAGGCCCTGCCTCAGGCAACCTGAATCAGAACCGTCATGTAACAAAATCTTTAGGTGATTCCTGTGCATATTAAAACTTCAGAAACACTGATGCAAAGACAAATGATGAAGTATATCAGAGCTCTAAATAGGATATTTTAAACTTTTTAAACCCAAGTTTAAACCCAGGTTTTCTTTTTAATTTCTCTGGGTTACTGCTGACACATCTATTCCATTGAAATAATGAGATCAGTGAGTTCATTTCTGCTTACATCATGGACCATAACAAGCTCATAACAAGGAGAACAGAGAGAAAATCAGAGAAGGGGGATATGAATGAATCATTTTATTTTTAGTAAAAATACAAATCATTGATTTTACTATTTAGCAAATCAGAACAACCTTCTAAAACAAGGAAGATAACATAGATTCCAGCCTTGCAATATGGTTTCTATCTAGATGTGATCATAGGTGGGCTTCCAGGAGGGCAGTGCACCACGGGCGTGTGGTTCTCCCGCGTGGATGCATCCACTGGTGCGTTTACAGCTAAATGCGATGTTGGGAGCTGAAGCCCATCATCAAAGGTGGTCCGGGGCTGTGGCCGGGAGGGTCTGTCTCCCTTCCCCCTCCCTTGAGCTCGCTCTGCTTCCCACTGCCCAACCGTGAGGTCAATCCCCCTGCCAGGCCCGTCTGCCATGCTGCCAGCCAAGACCATGCACAAGACTTCTGCAAACTGTGAGTCAAAATAAACCTCAGAGTTGCTGATGCCAGGTATTGCTTCTCAGTGATGAGGAAGTGCCCAAGACACTCTTCCTTTCCTTTTACTGGTCTTCTTAGTGTCACTTATTTTCTTATTTCAAAACACATGATTAGATCAGTTTTGAACTGTGACGGTCAATAATTAGGATCATGCTAACACTCCAAGATGTCTCTTTAGGAGATAAAATTTTAGCTGGGAATAGCACATTCGGTGAGGTGAGAGTCCGTGAGTCTCTAGTCCTGTTACAGACACGCCTGAGGCAGTCTGGACTTGACCAGACTGTCAGGGTGATGGATGTGTTGTCCACTGCACTTTGAAAAGAGGTGATGTCTGTTAGTGGTAGAGTGACAGGTGGACTTCTGGCCCCACAAAGACGCCCATAAGCAAATTCCCACAACCTGTGAATATGCTATGTGCTGTAAGAAAGAATTAAGGGTACAGATGGAATTAGAGTTAATCATCAGTTAGTCTCAAAGTACAAAGATTATCTCAGGTTGTTTGGATGTGCTCAGCATCCTTACCGAAGAAAGACAGAGGCAAAAGCTTTGGTGTCCTAGCAGGGGGAACAGGGTGATGTAATGAGAGCAATTACAGGGTTTGAAGGTGGAAGGGCATTGTTCAAGGGATGCATGCAGCCTTTAGAAGTGGGATAAGGCTAGAAAATTATCCCTAGATTCCAGAAAAGAAAGAGACCTGTCACCATCTTAGTTTTAGTCTAATGAGACTCATTTCAGATTTCTGATTTCCACAATTGTAGTATCACAAGTCTGCTATTTTTAGGCACCGTTTGTAGTAATTCACTGTAGCAGCAGTAGAAAACTGGGGAGTGGATGCTGCAGTTACAAATACATAAAAATAATGAAAATCTCTTTAAATTGGGCAATGGCGGAACCTGGAAGAAATTTGAAGAACCAACTTTTTAGAACCCTGGCTTGCTTGCAGATGGTGCTAATGCAAACAGATGTGAGGCCTCTGCCAGCGAGTTCAGGACAGAGTGAGCAGCACAGAACAGAACACTTACATCGTTTCGGAGAGTGCAGAGATCTCCATGAGCAGATGGCTGGTTAAAGTACGGACATGGATACAGAATTGACATTGAAGAATCTGTAAAGTTTTGATACACCAATAATGAACCATCTGAAAAAAAGGAACGCGGAAAACTCTTCACCATTGCTTCAAGAAAAATTAAAGTATCTGGGAATCACCCTAAACAAGGAGGTGACAGATTTCTACAATGAAAATTACAGAGTACTGAAGACACTGGAAGATAGAACTTCCTGTTCATGGACTGGCGGAAATAGTATTGGTGAAATAGCCATTTGCCGGAAGTGACCTACAGACTCTGTACCATTCCGTCAAAATTCCAGTGACATGCTCCACAAAACTAGAGAATTATAACCCTATAATCCAT